AAGGGATTGGGAGATAGATGTTGTGGACACACGGCTACCTTTTCATTTCCGGTCGACCATTTATTGGCTGAACCTCTAGAATTCTGAGCATCGGATCCCTGGAATGCCGATTGTACCTAGCTTCCCCAGTCGCGACGACTACCTGCTGTACAGCTCTTTCAAAAGCAGCCCCACGCAGAAGTTGAGAGGCAAACCTGAACCCTGATTGTCGCGAAGAGGATGCCACCCTAACCCCAAAACCCCTAAACGCCTCAGCCCTTAAACCCTAAACCCCTCAACGCCTAAACCCTTATAAGACAGCATCCTCTTTGGCACTTTCGCAGGTCAAAGTATCTCCTTGGCAAAGCAGGCCACTCTCAAGGAGGGCATTGCTGAAGAGGCACCGGCAGCTCCGTAAAGATGCGAGACGTCCTATCTTGAGGTGTAGAGTAGCAGGTTCTTCGGGTTTATAGGGTTTGTGCGTTTTTTTAATGGGATTTATAGGTTTGCAAGACTGTGATCTTACAGTATTTGGTCCTAGAAGTTGGAAGACGCCAAGGGGCGGAACATGTCAAGTAGGGTTCCCGACCAAGCACTACATCCGGTGCCAACGCCATCCGGATGTCCAGGGAGAGGTGTGTCCTGCCTCTAGCGTTCATGTTTTAACCCAGAGGCCGATAAATGTTTAGCAACGTTGTCTTCATGATAAACCTTTGTCTGTGGCAATTGTATAATGGCATAGATAGATAGATATGTATATGTATAATATAGATGGAAAGATCTATTTATATACACACATATAGGGACTACCTACTACCTACCCAAAATATTTGCCCAATCTTCTACGACACTTTGTAGCCAGCCACGGATATTGCGTCCGTTCGGCTGTTGGAGGGTTGTCACCTGCCAGGTGCAGGCCGCGACCCCAGGCATGCCAAAGCAGAGCCGGAGCCGGAATGCGCTTAGGGTTTCGGGTTTAGGGTTTAAGGTTTAGGGTTTAAGGTTGATAGGGTTTAGGGATTTAGAGGTTTTTAGGTGTTTAGGGGTTTAGGGGTTTTGGGTTTAGGTGTTTAGGGGTTTAGACTGGTTTAGAGGTTTATAGGGATTTAGGGTGTTAAGAGTTTAGGTGGGTGTTCGACGTCTATGGTTGCATGTTCTTTATTTGGGAGGCATTTGTTCAGAGATATTGCTCAAGTTTTCATTGGTTTAGGCATGCTTTATCAACTGAATCAACTTGGTAGCCCAGCGGTACCCTTTTGCCCGTTGTTTGGTTCTAGGTTCCCTTTTCAAGTCACCAACCCCCAAAAACTTACTTCGCCTTTAGTTGAACTTTAAACTTTTTGGGTTTCCTTATGTAGTAAGAACACTAAAGTTTAACATTGGAGAAGTAAGAAAAGGAACAGTTTCCGCAGCCCAGGTGAACCATGCGTCGCAAAGCGGCCGCGGGCGCACTGATTTCAGCTGCCCGGCTCAGAACCCGAGCAGTATACGAAACGTTGGAACAGTATGTTTTCCCCTGACCAAAAACCCTAAACCCGAAACCCTAAACCCTAAACTCTATAGACCCTACGACAACCCTAAATAGCCATGGGCCCCACAGGCTCTATAAGCTGAACCCTAAGCGCTAAAACCCTTTTTGCAGCCGGACTGAGGGCGTAACCCTAAACCCCAAACTCCAAACCCTAAACCCTAGCCCTAAACCCTAAACCCTAGCCCTAAACCCTAAACCACCGCAATGTGGCCTGAGTATCAGCTAGGCGGGTGGCAAAACAAAAGCCTAAACCACTTAGCAAGGTAGCTAAGCCTTTGTGGTCGTTGGGTATCGGCTGACCCTACATGGCCTCAGATGCAGGTTACGGCTTCTTTTCGATCACCCCACGACCCCTCAGGGTTTAGGGTTTAGGGTTTAGGGTTTAGGGTTTAGGGTTTAGGGTTTAGGGTTTAGGGTTTAGGGTTAAGAAAGTTGTAGACCATACGTCAGGTTAGGATCCGAAGTAAGGTCTACGATCAGGGGCACTTGGCTCTCTGGGAAGATCATGGCCCTTCTTGTGGCATCTTGCACAGGTGCGGTGCGATGGCTTTTCCTCTCGGTGCCACACCACCCGAACCAACAGGCAACTTGGTTGAGGGTTCGGGGTTTAGAGTTTACGGTGTATAGGGTTTAGGGTTTAGGGTTTAGGGCCTAAACCCTAAACCCTAAACCCTAAACCCTAAACCCTAAACCCTAAACCCTGATTTTGAAGGTCCGCTTCGCCTACCGTAAGGGGCTGGTTCGACCATACTCTGGCCGAGGATACTTTGCATTGCTTGTTGTTTCCATTGCCCTGGCACATGTTGTTGTTCGGCGATGCCTTCTGCATGTAAATTCCCTTCATATCGTTGCAGAATACCAGAAAGCTTTTTTTTTCCTGAAGGTGTCTCGAGTTTGCTCTTCATCCCTAAACCCTAAATCCCAAACTCTAAACCTTCATCTCGCCTGCGGATCAGCCGTAGCCTTGGTGAGAACTATATGCCCGCAAGGAACGCATCCCCATCCAGACACCTGGGAGCATCTCAAAAGTACAGCCGCGCAACAGGGTTTAGGGTTTAGGGTTTTGGGTTCAGGCTTTAGGGTTTCGGGTTTAGGGTTTAGGGGTCATGCTAAGGAACCCTTAAAGAAAGGGGATCTACATTTTCGGACCCTCGCAGGGGTTGTTGGGTAAAGCCCGTGGTTACGCACTCCCGTGCTCAGGCGCGCCAGGCCTACGAGAGGCATGCTCGGCGTGAGCATGTCGCCGCCCCAGAGCTCGTCTCCTGTTCGGGCTTCGGGCTTCCGTGCATAGAGCAGAGTCGTGGGAACCACAAAGTTTAGGGTTTTAGGGTTTTAGGGTTTTAGGGTTTTAGGGTTTTAGGGTTTCGGCAGTCGTAGTAACCACAAGATCATCACGGTAGTCTTCGCTAGTGATGATTACGACATCGCCAGAACGAGTCGTGAGAGTGCATCAGTCTTAGGTTGTTTACGTGGCCCCTCAGTGTGGGCCCTGAATTACCCTTCTAAAGAAGGCGAGGGACCACATTACGGCACCATGTAACTTCCCCCCCTAAACAGCCCAAACCCTAAACCCTAAACCCTAAACCCTAAACCCTAAACCCTAAACCCAGGTTGGCGAAGAGGAGGTGAGCCTGTTTTTCGCCCTGGATGCTGAGGGAAGACTCGACCTTAGCCCATGGTGCCTTCTCAGCTCAGGGATGTCCGGGTTCTGGCACGTTCGGTTTAGGGTTTAGGGTTTAGGGTTTAGGGTTTAGGGTTTAGGGTTTAGGGTTTAGGGTTTAGGGTTTAGGGTTTAGGGTTTAGGGTTTAGGGTTTAGGGTTTAGGGTTTAGGGTTTAGGGTTTAGGATGCTTTAACTAGGCCTGCGACTGGGTGATGCTGCCTTGGGGTAATCAGGCCCCAATACAGAAATAAAGGGGGCGAATTAGAGCTAATCTACAAGCCCCGGAGGGTACTGCGATTGTGAGTACGGAATGGGCGCAAGAAATCCTAAACCTCATAGAAGGTTATTTCCCAAAGTAGGGGTACCCCTAATATACCCCCCAACAAGACAATTCCTCACAATGGGAGCCCCCCCAAAAGGGCACCTTAAACCAATAAACATAGCCCCTATAGAGGAATCCGGAAAAACCCTCGCGACCGCCTAGCTCCCCAAAGCCCGAAGCTTGCTGGCTCTTCGTAGGGACATGTGTTTGAGCAAGTCCCCTGCATGCCCCCTAAACCCCAAACCCTAATTCCCTAAATTCCCTAAACTTCCTAAGTTCCGTAAACACACCCTAAAGGCGAGCTCCTAAACCCTAAACCCCAAACCCCAAACCCTAAACCCTAAACCCTAAACCCTAAACCCTAAATCCTAAACCCTAAACCCTAAACCCTAAACCCTAAACCCTAAAAAACCCTAAAACCCCCACACTTAACCCTAAACCCTAAACCCTAAACCCTAAACCCTAACCCCTAACCCCGAACCCCGAACCCCGAACCCCGAACCCCTAACCCCTAACCCCTAACCCCTAAACCCTAAACCCTAAACCCTAAACCCTAAACCCTAAACCCTAAACCCTAAACCCTAAACCCTAAACCCTAAACCCAAACCCGAAGCCCTAAAGGCCCCGAGCCGGTTCCGGCAGCCGCCGACGGCTCCGGGCGGGGTGCCATGCACGCGGCCGCGGCCCCAATGGCTTTGGGTTTAGGGTTTAGGGTTTAGGGTTTAGGGTTTAGGGTTTAGGTTTTAGGTTTTAGGGTTTGGGGCTATTAGGCCTGAAAATCCTCAGAAGGAATCCTATAAAGGGCCTTTTAAGGGATTGTAGGGTGTAACAGCCCATCCTGGTAGTATAGGGAATGAGGGAATCAGGGCCCCTCATTCCCGCCAGAATGCCCGGGCCCAGGCTGCACTTCGAATTTGATTTACCTTCCAGCGCGATGGCTGTCCCAGAATGCTGGTGCTACCTGGGGCTCTCTCTACCTACAGTTTAATGGGGTTAAAACCTCCTAACGGGTTTAGGGTTCAGGGGGGGGGGGGGTTCAAAGGAGGAAATATGTAACCCAATGTTCCCTACTACTACTCCCCATAACTCCCCAAGGCTCCCTAAGCTTCCCTAAGGTTGCCTAGGTACCTACCCCCCATGCAAGTCGTTGATGGCAACCCTCAGTCGTCTACCCTAAACCCTAAACCCTAAACCCTAAACCCTAAACCCTAAACCCTAAACCCTAAACCCTAAACCCTGGCATGTTGTGCGAGAACTTTGAGCTCCTCTGGCATAGCGAAGGGTTGACGACCTGATCCTTTGAATGCCGAGTCCTGTTGCGTGCTGGCCCCTGCTGGCTTGCAGGAACCGACACTGTTCCCTAAACTCCAAACTCTAACCCTTAGAATGTCTGTAGCGATATACATATCTCTGGGTTCACCCTACACCCCAAGCCCTGCACAACGGGTTCATGAGTCTTGACATCATGTAGCCCCCTAAGCCGATTGAACCGTAGAGTTCGTTCCAATGGTTGGCTCACCATGGTCTGTGCCCGGCCTGGCCGCTTGCCTTGGCATGCTGGCTGTGGACTGGGTTTTTGACGTGGGTGAGGCGCAGGCGGCCAAGGTCTACTACTGCAGCCTCTTGCCGACCCTCTTCTCCTTCCCGCACTGCCTGCGCGTGGTGATCCCGGTTGCCTTTGCCGGGATCTGCATCCTGAGCAACCTGTACGCAAGTTGGTCAGGACAGCATGGCCTCGCTAAAGTGGCCCACCTCGCCACCTGCGCAGTGCTGCTTTTCGGGGGCCTGCCATGCTTCTACGTCTCTGTCAGGTCAGTGCAGATGCTGTGTGGCGGAATCGACGAAACAGCGCAGATCACGACATTGCAACAGGCACATGCGGCAATGTTTGTCGTCTTTTTGGCCAGCATCGCCTTTGAAGTGGCAGGACATGCAGCTCGCGCGAAGTCGGCGCCAGATTCGAAGTCCAAGGCAACGTAGAGCACAAAGAAAAATCCCCTTGAGCCTGCATGGCGTTCCTGTCGTTGGAGGAACCCTAAACCCTAATCTCTAAACCCCAGAACGGAACGAGATGGGTTCTAGTTGCCATTTCTATATCCCCCTTGGGGTTTTTTTTATTCTTGTTTATATAAAACCCAAGAGGATGTTAACATTATCATTGTTTTATTAAGGTTCTAAGGGGAGTCTTATAGATTTTTGTTGGTCTGAGCCACTCCGGGATGGAACCGCAACTTATCGGTCCCACACGTGTGTCCTCGGAGCCACATTCTTCGATGAGCATGAGAGTAGTGTTAGGTCGCTTCTTGCTGGAGAGGTTGCAACCTACCTGCTGTGGCTCTTGAGGTTGTCACCTTTAGGGTTTAGGGTTTAGCGTTTAGGGTTTAGGGTTTAGGGTTTAGGGACCCGGTGCCTTTTGTGACAGCTCGCCCTCCTGAAATTGTCCTTGCCATGCAAACTCTTCATCTCACTAACCCCTCTCAAAAACCCCCAACCCCAAGCCCTAAACCCTAAACCCTAAACCCAAGCCCTAAACCCTAAACCCTAAACCCTAAACCCTACAAGGTCCTACCCACCGAACTGCGGACCCACATCGGCGGACACATCCAGGCCGAACAGCCGGGGCGTCTCATCGTTCAGGGCTTACGGTTTAGGGTTTAGGGTTTAGGGTTTAGGGGTTAGGGTTTAGGGTTTAGGCTTGCGTCTTGCCCAGCCTGCTGGGAGGATCCCAACAGTAGATGCCTTTCAGGGTTTGGGGTTTAGGGTTTAGGGTTTGGGATGGTTTAGAGTTTAGGGTTTGGGGGTTAGAATGACCCTGTGTGTGAGAGTCTAGGGTAGTAGATTTGGGGTGCTCTAGTTTTTGGATCCTCCCAGGGATTTTACGGGTTTATGGTTTAGGGTTTATGTAGGGCCTTTGTCTGGTTTAGGGTTTAGGGTTTAGGTTTTAGGGTTTAGAGTTTAGGGTTTAGGGTTTACCGGGCTTTGCATTGTGGGACCTTATTTGGCTTCAGGTTTCGGGGTTTCGGGTGTCAAAGGGCTTGGAGTCTCGGGCATCCACGGTATGGGGCCTAGGGTTCGGGGATCAGGAGGTTTTACGAAACCCTAAACCCTAAACCCCAAACCCTAAACCCCAGAGATCCTGAATAAGCCCTGTGGTGCAACAGACTTGAAGCTCAGCTTCCTGGTTCTCTAATTAGGGTGTATAGTGTTTTATTTGGGAGGGGGATTGGAGGTACCTAGGTCCAGAATTCGTAAGTTCAGCCTACATCAGGTAACCGTTTAAGTTCTATCAGCCCTCGCTCAAACAGCCCACGAAACCCTATTGCTTCAACGTCCCCTTAGGTTTTATATAAACAAAAATAAAAATAATTCCCAAGGGGGATACGGATTCTGGTTGGGGGGTTTAGGTTTGTTGGTATGCGGTTTGGGGTTTCGGGTTTGAGGAATAGATCGCTTGAAACTGACATAGGGATCCTACTACGAATTAAAGTGCAATTTCCCTGATTTGAGGGGAATTGGGCTCCCTGAGTTTTGTAAGCTACCTCATCTACCATTAGCGTCAGAACCACCCAGAAAGTTTGGGGGGGGGGGCTTAAGCACATAGTAGTCGTAGCGTTAATGGAGCTAGTTTAGCAGTCCTACTTGCGCCAACGTTCACTTTGCAGGCTAGGGTTTGAGCTTAGGGTGTGGGAGTTAGGTTAGGGTTGAGGGTTGAGGGTGGAGGGTTTGTGGTTTTGGGTTTAGGGCTTAGGGGTATTTATCTTTTTCTTTGTTCCTTGGCCCTGACCAAAGAACGAAAAGCACAAAAGTAAAAACAAAAAAAGCACCAGCTCTGAAGCAGATTATTTCAATTAAGGTTCTAAGGGGAGTATAGAAGCACCGAAACCCTAAACCCTAAACCCTAAACCCTAAACCGCATACCAAGAACCCAAACCCCCCAACCATAAGAAACCCTAAGCCGGAGGCATCTTGGCTCCTCTCCGTGGACCGGCAGCGCATGCAGGACTGCTTTTGAGAGCTGAGGAGTGCCATTCGAAATAATTCCAAGAACGGCAGGGTGGTGGTGACCAATATATATATATATATGTATTGTATACATAGACACACATATAAATCTGCACGCTATAGTAGCTTTAAGAGTTCCGAGGTTTCAAAGCCTAGACCCTAAACCCTAAAGCGGCGAAGAACTCTTAAAGATACTACACCCATATATGTATGTATATGTATATGTATATGTATATGTGTATGTAGATGTAGATGTATATGTATATGTAGCTATTTGTTTATTTCTGGGTTCACATGTATGACATATATCATAGTCAAGGGGCTAAATGGAGGTGGAAGGCTTGCTTTAAACCTGCCGTGCATTGCCTGGGCTCGCAGAAGACGGCCACTAGTAGTAACGACGTCGTTCCTTTCCAGCCTTGAGACGCTGCTGGCATGCATGGCAGGACTTTGCAGACAACGCGTGGAACCACGCATTGTTGATGACCCTGCCCAGGCTGAGCGAACTCCTAGCGAACTCTTTGCTGTTACTTTATTCTGACTACTTTGGTTGATATTGTGCCACGAAGCTACTGCTATTACAGTTGTCATTGCTATGACTTGCGAGGACGACGACGACTACCACTACTGCTACTTCTCCTTTAACTACCAGTGGACGCTTGGTCGCTATTCTTCTTCTACTGCTGCTACTACTACTACTACTACTCCTACTACTACTACTACTTCTACTACTACTACTACTACTACTACTACTACTACTACTACTACTACTACTACTACTACTACTACTACTACTACTACTACTACTACTACTACTACTACTACTAGTACTACTACTTCTGCTACTTCTGCTCTGCTTCTTCTGCTTCTTCTTCGTCTTCTGCTACTTCTGCTACTACGCCGACGACGACGCTTCTACCACCTTTATCGTTGCTCTTGTAGTGTGACCACGACATTGATGATATCTTCCCAGCCTTTATGCAATGGAGAATTAGCGAGGCAGGTACCCAATGAGATCCCTCACAAGCTGTCGGGGATATAAGAGCACCTACGAATGCCCCACTTCCCTAACATAGCCCATTCAAGGACTCTTCAGCGGAGCATCATCTTCGGAAATTCGATTGTTGATGACAGTCTGTGTCTCCATTGGAAACTGACACCCAACAGTATGTGCTGCTGGGAGCTGCAAGTAGCAAGCTTATGATCTTTACCATCCGCTATTCAGCTATTCAAAGGGCATTCCAATTGGGGCGCTTTGGGGCGCATCAGGCAGATTGATGGCCTTATGTATGTGAATGTCGCATTGTGGTTAGCAGACTGGTTCAGTTAGTCCCCGAGCCTTGCCTACACCTCAAACCCCAAACCCGAAGCCCAAAAACCCGCGTTATGGAGTTCAGGGTTTCGGGTTTAGGGTCGAGGACACGAAGTATGGACATGATTTCTGTAGGTTTGGAATGTTATTCGTTGTATGTGTGTTTGCCTAGGCAGAAAGTTTGTCACTGGCCTTTCCCAGCTGACTTTAGGAGTCTGGGTTCAGAAAGAGGGTTTACCTGGGACTCTGTTTACCTATATAGAGTTTCGCAGTACCTACCCCCTAAATACCAGGTACAACCCATAAAACTGCAGGTAAAGAGAGTTCCAGGTGGGGCTTAGGCAGCTCCCGACCTGCCAACAGAACTAGGGTTTAGGGTTTAGGGTTTAGGGTTTAGGGTTTAGGGTTTAGGGTTTAGGGCGAGCCGGTAGGCTGCTGCAACTTCACCTGCGCTGGATTGCGCAAGCCAGACCTCCCAATCTGGCCAAGGTGGGGAAAAATTCGCAGAAACATGTCGTAAGGAGTTTGCTTGAAGGCTCATGTGTTGGGATGTTCGCCCTTATAGTAACCTTCCTTAGTCGGGATTGCAGTATCCCTGTTATAATCCCAATGAAGGACTGTCAGGGGCTATAAGGACCCTGAATAAGGTGTTCACCAACTTGAAGTGTAGTTACCCTACCTACGCATAACCCCACTTACAACTACCCATGAGCCTACAAGTAGGGATAGGCTACATCTAGCAGGGCTTGTAGAAAGAGATTTGGGGATCATCGTCGGGAAGGGTTTTGTAAGGCAACTGTCCAGTGAGGAAACAGACGTACCGATCTTACTGGGTAGTTCTCTGTTTCTAAGTCCCTTTTGGGGTCCTTATGCTAAGCGCGTTGTACTACAGAGCGACCCCAGCAGGGACCCTAATTTTGGGAGGTGTCCATTGGAGCATGAGCCCGACTCAGAAATGATCGGACCCCAATCCCCCTGAGCCCTCCCGTAAGAACCCCAAAGCCTACATTGTTGTAGGTGATGTTGAGATAAATAAAGGGTTCTTAGGTCATCTACAAACAAGTAGGTTTTTGGCTTCTTGATCTAAGCCCAGTTCACTAGGGGCATCTTGGCTTGGAAATGTTCACGAAAACCTGGCAGCATCAGGACCCTGAACCGGGTTTAGGGTTTCGGGTTTAGGGTTTAGGTTGAGGGTGGGCACCGCAGACTCTGAACCCTGAGTCCATCCGTTCCCACCCTCTCCTCGATTTTGGAGAACGAGTGAGCTGGCGGTGGCGCAATGAGATGCCCAAAGCCCTTAAAAAGAGTTCCAAATGAACAAGGTCCAGGTGGTGGATGTGAATCCTGGCATTCGCGAGAAGCATACTGCACAAGTTCCCCGCAAGGCTGGCATACCCCAGGCCTTACGAAGAACTCACACCTCAGGGAAGTGCAGATCATTTGATGCAAGTAACTCATCTGCGAGGTATTGGGTTATTAGCGTACCAGGTTAGACTTGAACCCTAAACCCCAAACCCTGAAAACCTGAAAACCCTGAAAACCCTGAAAGCCCTGAAAACCCTGAAAACCCTGAAAACCCTAAACCCTAAACCCAAATCTTCACATTTGCCATCGGGCAGGCCTACGACATCTTGCCTGACATGGAGCCATGAAGGGCATGCAGTTT